TCAGTAGAGATGAGAGGCAGCACACATACCATCTCACCAGACAGTGGGCTCGAGGAGGAAAGTCATTGTTCATGCACAGCAAGTCCTGCATTGGCAGAGGAAGGGCATCTGTGACAAAAATTGACACACAATCAATGCATCATCACATCCATCCAGCTCACTTACAATTGCCTGGTAATTCACTGTGTGAATGCGAAGCAAACTAAAAGCAGACATGTCAGATCACACTCATCAGACCTGAGAAAATCCCACACAGACACAAATCAGCACACTGTGGACTCCACGTTGTGACACTGTCTTCTCTCATTATCCTTACAACTACGGAAGGGAAATATCAGGTACCTTCTCCCAGCTCTTCTTTCCCTTCTTTGTCACTGGGTTCTTGTACAAGATAATGATGGGTAACTGAGAATTTGAAGTCTGCAAATGAAATTTCATCTGATTTCTCTTCCCATGTTCCTGTGGTAAATATACCCTGCATATAAAAAAAGAAGGTATTACCTCATAAATATAGGTTAAGATTCACTAGTCTTTAAAAGTCTTTAAAACTAAGTCTTTTAAATATTGCCCATATGATCAATAATGTTGATTCACATTTTTCTGCTGCCTAATGGCTCAGCATGACTTAATTTCAATAAGCAATTCTCAAAGCTCTTCATTATAAAGGTAGCTGGCTGCTAAAATCCATGTTGCCAATGATCATGTTCATTCCAAAAATCAAATACCATCTTGCATTCTTCAGAACTATATGGCAATAAAGATTGCATCCTCCCATATGCAACTGTACATCTGAAGATATGCACCCTCAATTTTGCCCAGAGACAGAAGCTTCCCACCTGGGATTTTATCTGTATCTAAACTATTCTGTGCAAATATTACCTTGATATTTACTTTCACCAACAAATGATTACTTTTATCTACAACTTACAAAACTCATAAGAATAATTAATTCTTACAATAAAAAAAAACCAAACCATATAAGAATAACTAATTTTTAAACAAAAATTCAACATGGGAATGTTTAAAAAAATCAGCACCACTGCTCCTACTAAAAGCAACTTGGACAATCCTTTGATCTCACAGGGTGTTAAGAAGAGAGCTCTGGTCTAGAAAAGAAGACGTGCAGGAATACAGGGACAGCTAATATGCAGTTCATTAGATAACACAAGTTTTATTCCAAATACTCTGTGCCTGACTAGAATGAAAAGCAATGAGATTCCCCTGGAAACACAGCAGCCATTCCATACAAACCAGCTGAGTTTATCTGCATTGCTGTGCAGAAGAGCTCAGCAATTTCCTCTGCATTTCACAGGACTGAGAAAGCATCACAAAGGCTCTAATTAGACTCTGAAAAAATCTCTCCCATCTATGAAGCACACTGAGTCACAACTAGCACTGTGCAAACCTCAGCCATAAGTACATGAAGTGTGACAAAGGCACAAAGCAGGACAAAAAGAGTATTTAGAGCAGCTTAGAGCATGTTTCCAGATTCAAACTTAGAATTTAAAAAAAAATCTCTAAGCCCTACAGAAAGATCCATCTTTGTCAGGGAAACAGCCTGTTTGGTAGATGATCCACCAATGAATTTACAGCAATTGTTTGTCAAATTGACACATCTACAAGTGAAATTCCCCAATAAAGTCATTATCTGCCACACCTAAGAAAACAGCAATAGATGAAATACATGTGTGCATTAACAAATACAGCAACAATTAGCAATTCAAATTCTACAGGAAAGTTCAGAAGTAACTGACCTTCTCTAGAGGTTTGCCAGAAGAAATCCCAATAAGTTTCCAGTCATTCAATACTTCTTCTATTTTTGAAATAAATCTATTAGGAGGGGAAAAAGGCATTAAAATTTGCTGAACACTAAACCTGTATTATAATTCAGCCACCTCAAAGCATGCAGTATGTTGTTCAGATATAGAATTCCTCAGAAAAGCCCAAAGAACAAAAAAACAAAACACCACAAGTATCACAGTAAAGCCAGAAAAACTGCTTCCTTGTACACAAAAGAGTCTTTCTATGCTTAAATTTTACATGACAGTTACTTTCAGCTATGAGCATCTTTTACATGACAGTTACTTTTAGCTATGAGCATCTTTTGACTGTTTTAAGAATCTCACCTTTTTCTGGTACTGCAGCACGTAACATCTGCAGCACATAACTCCTGTTTCATTGTTAACAGATGAACAAGCATTTAAGACAAAATTATCACTAAATTCAGATTTAAAGCACAGCACTTGAAATCTCTGGTCTCCTGTCTTAAACGTTATCACTATTGGAAAAAGCATTTAAAAAATAATACATTCACAGTGCAAGAAAATTCTTCGCCTTAAATTTCTTCGTACATTGTTCTACTAACTCTTAAAGGCTTCAGCTATGAGATGACTGTCTTAACAATCAGACAGCTACTTAGAAAACACATAAGCCTTGTGAATGCATATTCTAATCCCTTGCAAACAGGTATTAAACCGGACCTTTCGCTAAGTTCAGAAACAGCTCGACTAGAGCCTCTTAAGCCGCTCCTCGGCTGCGGCCTGAGCCTAACGCGGAACAGCCGGGAAAAGGCTCCGGGAAGGGCTCCGGGAAGGGCTCCCGGTGCTCCCGGCTCGGGGAGCGGCCGATCCGCGGGGTCCGGCTGTCCCCGGCAGGAGCAGCCGGGCCGGGCTCGGCGGAGCCCCCGCGGCACCGCGCGCCGAGTGAGGGGCGCGGCAGCACCTACCTCTCCCACTCGGAGGCGGTGGTGAAGTCCGTGATCTCGAACACCTCCGACTCGGGCTGCGGGGAGAGAGCGGGAGAGGCGGTGAGCGGAGAGAGCAGGGGGAGACAGAGGGAGAGTCGGGGAACGGGGAGCGAGCGGGAGGAGCGGGGCAGACACTCACGTCGCTGTCCGCCGCCATCTTGCGCCGCTGCCGGCCCCCCCCCCAGCGGCGGAGGCTGCCGGGAACGTGGCGGAGGGCGGCGCCTCCTCAAAGCCCAGACCTCCCTCACAGCCCGCTGTTCCTGGGCTCTTTCGCAGCTCAGTTTCCCCTCGCAATATGTTTCTCTTAGGCTCTTTCGGTCGTTCTGGTGGGGTTCACGCACAGCCTGGCTCCCGTCTCCCCAGGCTCCTCACGCCGGGTCTTTGTTTCCCGGCCGGCCGCAGCCCCTCACGGGGACGCCCGCGGGCGCAGTCGCTTCACACCGGCGCGAAGCTGAAGTAGGGGCTGCTCCCTCAGATTCTCCGGCTCCGTCAGCGAGAGTCGAGAAGGGCTCCCTCAGATGTCAGAGTTACACAGCCCTTGTCAGCCAGCCGGGGGCTGAGGTGTCCCCCAGGACTGGTGTCCCTGTGCCCGCCGAATCCAAAGCCTTCCCCGTCGCTTGTGTCACCCGGGGAACGGCGAAATCCTTCTGCCATCCAGCAAAGCAGCTCCTTTAAACACCCTTTTAACTGAGCTTGAGCCCACTATACCTCTTTTATCCTGTCTTGTCCCTTAGCATAGTCTGTTACTTAAAAAAAAAAAAAAAAAAAAAAAAAAAAAAAAAAAAAAAGTGGAAATACTCTTAAAATCTGCGGCTGAAAGGATATTACAAATACTCGTGAGGGGACTGAGTGCGAAGTAAAAATTACGTGGAAACATACCAGGTACTAAAAGCATAAAGGGAGGCAAACATAAGATAGAAATAGGGTTTGGTTTGTGTGCTGAGAGAAGCTGCGATCAGAGCCCGAAGTGCTGCGGTTCAGCTCGGCTGTGTTTGTTCTCACAGGTCACTGCTGCTCTTTGAACTCAAGCGCTGCCAGCCAGGTTCCGCGGGGTGAGGCGTTACCCGGGCGACACGCCGTAAACTCACCGGCCCCGGGCTGCCTGCGCGGGAGCTGCCTCGGGAATGGCTCCTGCCTGCCCCGCGCTCGGGGAAACAGCCGAAAACAAAACCAAAGTGTGTGTCATTGCTGTCGAACTCCTCGCTGGCCAGCAAAGGAAGGCAGCTGCGAGCTGAAAATGCTCTCTAATTTCCCTTTGGATTGCTGTGCCTCTTTCAATTTTCGCTGCTGAGGAACCAGGTAAGATTTGTAAGATTCTGCCTTTTTACAGGTAAGATTTGTAAGATTCTGCCTTTTTACAGAACATTCTGTTATTATTTTGAAGGGGTTTTTTGTATATTAAAAAAAAAAGTTTTTAGGAAGTTCACCATCTGACTCTTAACAGGCGAACATAATGGGATGAACATTGTAATGGATTGTATGGCCTTTAGCATGAGACATCAAGAGTGCTGGCTTCTATAGCTACCTCTACACCTAATTTCAGTGTCTTTGATTTGTATTCTTGCCACTTGAAAAACTGAAGTTCACTATGTTTTTCAGGAAGACTCCCAAATCCATTAAAACTATTAACTGGGGTTAATTTTCTTTTAAGAATTAGCTTTCTAGAATTTCAAAACTCCCAATCCTTTGACTTAACCCTCTCGTGTTTCTTCTTTACCAGTCTGCACTTTGGGTTTGTTCTGTGTTGTTTAGGCCACTGTCATCTTATGGTATTGTTAGAGTTAGAGTTTAATCTTGGAGAAGAGGGTTGGTGTTTTTAGAATTCTGAAGCAGCTCCCAGCACACTGACCACAGCCCAGAGCAGTGGTGACTGTGTCAGGGTCAGTATTACCCACACACAGCTGTGCTGACCAGGAGGTGACAGCCAGCTCCTTTCCCACAGTTACTGCTGATTAGACATAGGAAAAGAACATTAAAATCTTCTAATTAAGAGTAAAGCCCTTTCAAGTCAAATTCAACATAGCATATGTTGTGGTTTTACCTCTAAAAACTTTCTGAGCTCTTTGGTTCTGTGCATTCACAGGAAAGGGATTAGATGCTAAATTATGGTGCTTTGAATAATTTCAAGTACTTTTAAAATGTTTTTGTCTTACTTTTGTCTCAAAAAAATGAAATATAATGTAACACTTTGTGTACATGAATTGGAAATCAATCAACAGTTTTCAGGTTTCTGGGTGCTAATACATTTAAGGACAGTATGTCTGACAACAAACAAAATAAGAGGAGAAGCAAAAAAGGTAGTCTAACCCAAAGCTTACATGTTTAAAGTGTAAAATGTAGATCTGAGGCTAGAAAAGTACAGTAACAACTTGAAATTTGGCTATTTGTCAAAATTTAGCAACCATAAAAAATACACAATCAAACTCAGAGTACGTTTCTACCTTTGTAAAGGCCTAAGATTTTGTTTGTTTTTCATATTTTTTAAATGCTCTACTTCTGTAGAGTTTCTGTCAATATTTGTATTCTGTTTCTGTTCTCCTGAGATAGGAGCTGTAACTGGCTTTTTTTAAGATGTTCTTTGTTTTTGTAGCCCATTGAACTAATAAACTTACCAAAGAAATAAAAAGAATTCAAACTTATACATTGACATATCAATAAATTTAAAAAATTTGTGAAATGTAACTTGCTTTTGTTTCTTTTCCTGATACTTCTTTATAATAATGTTTTAATGCCCCAAAATAACTACATTTGCGTGTGTTACGGGAATTAATTTGCTTTTATGCAAATATTGATGTATTACTGCAGGTTGTGGGAGTGTTGTTGCTTTTCAGAATGCAGACAATATAATGCAAGAAATGTATCAGTCAGACAAAGCTCTAGGAAAAACCAGGTAAGAAGCATCAGTATTTAATTTGCACTTGGGTCTACACAAATGAGAACGAAGAAGGTTCGTAGCCTGAATAAGAAAAATGTTTCCTAGACATTCTTTACAGCTCTGTGTGTTGTGTAGTGTTTATCTCTTCCAAATATCAATTATTGGCCACTTCTGGAGGCAGGATATTGCATTAGGTGAACAAATGATTTGGTACAATAAAGAAATATGGTATATGGTTATTTGACTTACTAAACCCAGACAATTATCTTGTACACAGCTTTAAGAATAACTTAGACTGCACTTTTATACTTCTTTTCAGTCACAGTATTTATCTTTTTCTACATTTTTTATTCTTCAGAAAACAGGTGGCACAAAACTGAGGCTTGTCCACACAGCCTCTGTTTTTTCAGGCAGGCTGTAGCATATTTTGTTAGCAACAAAGGCACATCTGGTCTTCAAAATTCTTCTGACACACTCTCCTGATGATTCATAAAAACTACACCCTGGAAGCAATCAATTCTTGTCAATAAGGGGAAGGTGAACAGTATATTTTTATGTTTCTCTTGTTGCTTGGCTAACACTGTTTGTCATTCAATCTCACTTGTAGTCAACCTCTGCATTGCAATCTGCTATTTCCAGGGAGAGTCACAACCCCACAGATAAAGAAAAGACACTTTGGCATTCTGGGATCTTACAAACCTCTTGGTCACATTATTCACCAGCCATATGATTGTTTGAACTGGTTCCTTCCACTTATTTTTGCTCTGTATTTTGGTTATTTTTGTTTTGCCTTTTAGCCAAATTGCACCAACATCCAGAGCATGGCCAGACCAACAAGTGGCATGTTTTCCAAGTAAAAATCAGATAGCATTACCCAGGAGACATCACATTTCTTTACCTTTCTTAAATAAAGAGGACATGGGATGTGGCTTTGACTTCAGCTTTCTGCTACAGACCTCATGCCCAGAATCTAACATTTCAACATCATTTATGGATTTAGATACTTTCCAGATAATAAAAGCACAAATACAACAAAGTAAGTTCAATTTTAAAAGTCACAGATTTTATATAAAGTTATATCTTGGTTATCATATTGCCTTTATGTCTTTTGCTGTCTTCAGAGAGACTTCAGCTGTGTCAACCCTCTTCTTTAATTATAAGTTTGTGTGTGTTTGCAGCATGAAGGAGATAAAGAGAAGAAATGACAAACTTCACCATTCCTGCTGCTCTGTGTAGTGAAACTGAGCCACAAATGTGCAGTGTAATTCTCTGTGCCTGGAGTGATGACATCTTTCTCCCTCATACTGGCAATATTAATTAGCTACATACTGTGGTTAGCAAACGTCTACAACTGAGAAGCATTTCTTTGAATTATTAGTGTCAAAATATTTTAAAATTATAGTATTTTATTGTTTTCTGTGGAAAATGGAATTGTGAAGTTCAGTATCCCGATTAAATTTCAACCTACAACTTTTTTCTGCACTGCAGATTTATAGCACAGTCTTTCAACCAGAGATAGATCCTTGATCCCCAGAACACTACAATTTGAAATTAATTTATAAATGTGAATTGTAGTCTGTTTAAGAACATCAAATTTATATTTCACTTGTTTTGATTTTAAGGGTTATCTATAACAACACTAAAAACCAGGAACAAGAAATCTAAGGTAAGAGGACATTATGTATAAAATGATCACTGGAAAAAGTATAATATCCTTTCCAAATCTTAAAAATAGAAAAAACAAAGTAGGGTAGGTAGTTTGCTTAGTTTCAGGTGCTGGGTTTTTTTTTTGTTTGTTTGTTTTTTTTTTGTTTTGGTTTTTTTTTTTTTTTAGAATGTGAAATATATGTGTGTCAGCAAATCTTGAGGTGTATATCAACAAATTATCAGTAAGATGTTACATCAGGGACTTCTGGAGATAAAAGGTTGAAAGTTCAAAAAGATACAAAACCTTTAGAGAGATGTATAATTATAATTTGCATCCTATTTGTTAAATTAGATGTCTAGTTTTGCCAAAAACCCCAAAACTTCTTTTAAATGGTAATTTAAGATTGAATTCTAAAATAGTCTTGACATTAGATGCTTGATGAAATTTACTGTGTTAGCAAATAAAAAGTCTTTTAGAATTAAACATACTTTACATCTCAATACTTCACACCACTTTAAATATACTGTATTTAGAAAAAAAGAGAATTTGGCCTTCATGTATATTAATTAATAGCCTTTTGTAGAAAGGACTCAACTCATTGAAGTCAGATGTAAACTTCAGTGAACCATCACAGAATACAACAGATCACAGGAAAAAAGTGAAGAGAATTATAGAAGTAGGAGCAAGAGTTCTGACACAGGGTTATAAAAAGGGTTATGGAAAAAAAACACATTTCAAATGGAGGGAAATATTTAAGAAAAATAATTTAGCTGGCCTTGGTGTGATTTAATGCAGCTTTATTTCATGTCTTGGGCTCTGGTGGTTTCTAGAGGTGTATCCTTTGGGATAAATGGAGCATTCATATTAATGCCATGCAGGCTGAACAAAGCCTTCAGAACTGTGAATTTCAAACCAACACATTGCTTTTCCTGGCATGTTCAAACCTCAGTTTGCCCTTGGAATGTCAATAAAAATTTCCTGCAGATTGCAAACTGATGTTGAATATACACATGCAAATGAGCACTCAGAGCAGATGACTGTGTGATTATTTCTATTGCATTCATTTGCATAAAAATATTCATTTCCTATAAAATAAAGAACAGAAATACTATTTTCAGAAAGTCATTCTCGCTGTTCATCTGAATATCCAAACAAAGTACTCAGTTCATTTGATCTGTACTCCTTCAAATGTGCATGGTACCGTTCAACAAATGTGATGGGGAGAAGGGGGAATAGTAAAACAAATCCCTGACCCAACAGACTTCTGTGTCAGCTGCCTTTGGTTTTATCCATTTCTTTCAACAAATGTGATGGGAAGAAGGGAGGAATGGTAAAACACATCCCTGACCCAACAGACTTCTGTGTCAGCTGCCTTTGGTTTTATCCATTTCACTTCACTGCAAATCAAGTGCAGACTGTGCTGTCTTCCAGTGCACCTAAAACTCTGAGCTAAATCTGTGGCCATTTAACATGGATCTAAATGTTTAGATTTAATATAATGTACCTTAAAGTCTATAAATAACTTGTTAGAATTGTTTTCTCCAGAGATGCAACAGCATTCTGTTATAATGGTCTGGTTTTTCTTTTGAAAAATCGCTTACATGAGCTCTGGTTCCATTGGGAATATAATTAATGGTGTCAGCACATGTTGGAGGGTTACATAAAAAGATTTTAAATATCAGCATTAGAGTGGTGCTCTCATTCAGGGAGAGTGCACAGTGAGAGAGGAGCTCTGGCACATGAAGCCACTGCCCAGCCTTTGAATTCCTGTAGCAAACATGAAGTGCCACAAGACAGAGTTAATAACTGACAAGAGGATTTGTACATGTGGACAAAACTTACTGGTTCTAAATCATGGAGAATGATTTGTGCCTTAAAGCAAAAGATCCCACTTTCTGAACTAAGAAATACTTAGAAATAGTTCTGGATCTGAGAAAATTAATGCAATTAATGTGAGGAAAAAGAATGTATTTTCTCAGGAGTCTGATATTATACTTCATAATAGGTTTAATATAGGAATATATAAAGGAATAATAATTTTCTAATTTTTTTCCCTAAGTTTACTTGTTTCTTAGTGATTAGTTTTTACCTGTATCTGTGGTGTAGCACATTATTAATGTTTTTTTTATGGAAATTACAGTTTCATTTGCCACCAGTGACATGTCAGCCTGTAAGAAAAATTCATCTTGCTCCTCTAAGGGATGATATTGTCAATGAAAGCAGAAACATCAAAACTATTTTAAATATTATGAACTCTATTCCTCAGCCTATAAAACCAGTTACGAAATTTTGTCAGTATCAGTTAGACAACTTATTAAACAGGGACAGTGAAAAGTCATCAGAATTGATCATAGCCACAATTTCTGATAAGTTCACTCCAGTGAAGGATCTGTACTACTTCAGCATTAATAACTGTGATAAGTACCTTAACAACAAGAAGGAAGAAATCCAAAGCCATTTCAAGTGGAGGGAAGCTGATGTAGCAATCCACACTGGGAAGAAGAAATTCCAGTGTTCAGTGGTTTGTGAGAATATCAATCTTCTGACCCAGGCCGGGTTCTGGGATCAGAGTCATCCCCACTTGAGCTCAAGCAGTGTTCTGGTGAACTGTGGCATGTTTGCAGCCCAGACAGCATTTACAGTGTCCAGCAACAGCAATGCCTCAAGAGCTGGCAATAAGCAAAACGGAGCAGAGAATTGCTGTAGCACTGGTCTGGCAGAAGAAAATGCTGCAGAGATGATGCTGGATTATAAACCACAGGAAGATGCTGAGAGTGCCAACCTTGTGCTTTACAACCAGGATTTAGATTCCTCCTGTAAAAATGAAGTGATAGAGGCCTACCAAGCCTTGGAAGATAACTCTGTAGTTGCAGTAATTCCTGGAGCAGAAGCTCAGGATCCCTCTGGAAAACAGCCAGAAAATCAAGTCTGTCTCTCTGAATCTGAAACAGAAAAAGAAGCCATTTCAGAAGCAACTTTAGAGGACCAAAGTGAGCTTGTAGCTGTTGCTCATGTTATGCTCTCTGAACAAGAGCCAGCCAGGGAACCACACATTGCTGAACAGCCTACCAGAAAAAATGGTGGTGTCTGTACTCTCCTTCCTCATGCTCCTCAGAGCCTCAATGTTCTTGCTTACAAAGAAAATGACAAAAATAAAATAAAGATGAATAGAAATAAATATTCACCAAAATCTAAAATTAATAATAAGATAAAAGTATTTGAAGACTTAATTGCTTCTGAAGAGGTTACCACAAAATCAAATGCCAAGAGTCAGATTTTTCCATCTTTGGAACTGACAAAAGTGAAATCTGAGGCTTCCATGAAGTGTCAGAAAAAATCCACTCAAGGACACAAAGGCCATGTTGTTCAGAGTGCCCAGAAAATTAAAAAGCAAAGTTGCTCCTGCAGTTGCAAAAACTCAGCTGTCTTAAAGAAACACGTTACTCCACTTTGTCTGCCACGTACACCCTCTGCTTCAGATTTTGTAGATCTGAAATACACTGACATGTTCAAAATAATAAATTCAGATGACCAAGGCCCAGGTATTTATGAAATGTTTGGAACTCCTGTCTATTCCCGCGTGAGAGACCTTGATCAGCATGAGGGCAGGTTTTACAAAGGTGTTTATTCTGTTCCACCAGGAAGATGCACCTGCAGATCTGCCTGCAGTAAAGGGGGAGAAAGCAGCAGAGTCAGAAACATTCAAAAGAAAACTCATTCCAAGCCAAAGAAGACCACACCTGGTGCTAAACAAAAGCAGAAAAGTTTAATCACAAAGGACAGAAGGACCAAGTTGAGTGTCAGCAACACAGAGCAAGGCAATGCAACAACATCTGACTTGGCTTTTCAAACACACGCCTTGAGTAGCACAACATTGTTCCATGGAGACACAGATCATCAGCTCACATTTTCAGAAGAGCTTTCACAGTCAGCTAAGCAAAATGAAATGTTTACAAATTCAAACCTCTCAACTATTAAAGAAGTTTCTTTGGAGGAATTAGACAGCCAGGATAAATCCAGCTGTCAGAGAGCTGCTGCCTGCAGGCAGGATCTCCTTCAGCTCAGTGATCAAGACTGCAGAGAATGTGTTGCTCCAAGTGGCAGTCTGGTAACAGCAGAGCAGAACATCTGTGTGCCCCAGTGCAGGGGGGATATAGATGGTGGCAAAGGCTGGGAATCACACCAGGACTCCAAGTCTGTCAATAAATGTGAGTTGCCTTTTTCAGATAGACTGGAATGTCAGTCCCCTTCAAAAATATTAGATCACATTAGTTGTGCAAACACACCTCAAAACAGTGGTTTGGCAAATGAATTGACTCAGACTTCAGTGATTTGGACAAAAAAGGCCAAAAGCCCCAGTTCCCAGACAAGTCAAAACATATCTTCCTGGTCAGATACTAAGGATGTGACTGACAAGTTGCTTTGTTGTCTGGCCAAAGAATTGCTAATGCTTGAAGAAAAAGACACCAACTCTTCAAGAACAAAAAATACATGTTCTAAAATACAAAACACACAGAGTGAAGAAGAGGAAAATATGATGAATGGAGATGGAGCAATAATAAATAGTGCTCTAGAGAAGGTAAAAGAAATTTCTTCTTGTAACTTGCTGAATAATTTGAGTGATGCTTCACACAAGTTTGGATGAAAAATGGGAAATATGTGCTTATTAAAGAGATTTATCAAGTCTTTTTCCTTGGGCCAGCTGCCCACTGATTCTTCCAATGCTCTGTTGAATATATCTGTGTTAGAGGCATGTCAGGACACAAGCCAGAAGGTACTAGGGCATGGCAGGAATAGCTCCTAAAGCTTATATAAATTGGGAAATTGTAATGAATAAAGAGAATAGGCTATTTTAATTGAAGAGCTTGTATAATAAGGTTTTGGGCAAGGCAAGAACTGGAGATGTGAACAGGAATATGAAAAGACACTACAAATAGTCTTGCATATCCAGGAGGGCAATTACTTTGTTTTTTCTGAGTGCAGCCAGATACTTTTATAGATATTGGTTTATAGATATTGGATAAGTATTGGTTTATCAGACAGACTGATCCTGTTTAATTAATGCTTAATCAAAACTTCAAGCTCAGAAGGCTCAGATTTTGGCCCCCAAGTCAGCTGCATGCCTTCACTTACTAAGGTGTTTCTCTACCAGTACTGTTTCTCCTTGGTCCTTTTATCTCTTTGTCCATATAAGTTACAAATTTGCAAGGAAATGTCTTTCACTACATATTGATACTCTCCCTTGTGCTTCTGCAGACACAGGTGCCAATTATAGCTCCGTTCTCACTTCTCCAGGGCTAGATGGGATAATTATTGCCATCTTTCTGAAGCAGCCTCTTCTTCCTGGGAAGTCATTTTCGTCATTCATTTTCATTTTCATCATTCATTTTCATTTTCATCATTCATTTTCATTTTCTTCCTGGGCCTGTTATTTTCATCAGAATTGTGTTACATGTGTTACTTAGAGCATAGCCATATTCACCCTTCAGCCTAGCAAACTGTACCTTTGAGACCAAAAAAGAGAGTGTATCCTGCTCTTTTAAGTGCTCTTCTGTCTTGGTCCCAATGGAGGAAGGAGTCATGCTGTAACCTGGTTATGCACTGTTGTGATTTATACCTGAAAATATTTATACAGTTTTACCTAGTATAGCAGTTCTATCAATGACCTGGGCTATATCTAAATCTATAAGGCAAAGTCATGCCAGGAAAAATTACTCCTTATGAAAAAGGGGGAATCAAATGAAGCCTGTCTTTTCCTCTCTGCTTTCTCCCTACACTGACCATCATCTTTCAAGCAGAGTTACAGTAAAGCCTTTTTGGCTTCAAATGAAGAAAAGGGCCTTCTAAACTTTGATGAATCTACTAAATTATCAGGAAGCAGTTTAACTACCAAAGATCCTGTCATGTGGACAAGAGGAGAAGTCCTTGGAAAGGGAGCCTATGGCACGGTAAGTTAATGTCTGAATACGCTGAGATGTGTTGGTCATCATTGAGATACACCTTATCTCAAAAATAGCTGTTGTCCTATTCAACAAATGGGTTAAATATTTTGGATTATACAGGGAGATATGAAACATGACAAGCACAAAGATTCTATTTAAAATAAGTAAATACACAAGTTTTGTCCTGTGTCTTGTTTTGATAAGTGCTGGTTTCCCTGTAGGTGTACTGTGGTCTGACAAGCCAGGGACAGTTAATAGCTGTAAAACAGGTGATTTTGGATACATCAGATCAACTCACTACAGAAAAGGAGTATCAGAAGTTCCATGAGGAAGTTGATCTTTTGAAGACATTGAAGCATGTAAATATTGTAACTTATTTAGGAACTTGCCTGGAAGACAATATTTTGAGCATATTCATGGAGTTTGTTCCTGGTGGCTCCATTTCCAGTATTCTGAATCGCTTCGGCCCCTTGCCAGAAGTTGTCCTGTGTAAATACACCAAGCAAATTCTACAAGGGGTTGCATATTTACACGACAACTGTGTGGTCCACAGAGACATCAAAGGCAACAACGTGATGCTCATGCCCACCGGGGTAATCAAGCTGATTGACTTTGGCTGTGCCAGGCGCCTGGCCTGGGCCAGCCTCAGCGGCACCCGCAGCGAGCTGCTCCGCTCTGTGCACGGCACTCCCTACTGGATGGCTCCAGAGGTGATCAGTGACTCTGGCTATGGCAGGAAATCAGACATCTGGAGTGTTGGCTGCACCGTGTTCGAGATGGCAACAGGCAAACCCCCTCTGGCTTCCATGGACAGGGTGGCAGCCATGTTCTACATCGGGGCCCACAGGGGGCTGATGCCGGCCCTGCCCGATCGCTTCTCCAGCGCTGCCGTGGAGTTTGTGCACGCCTGCTTAACCAGGTATGGAGGCTCTGGACTGCAGAAGGAAAGGGAAAATGCAGGTAGTTCGTATTCTGGAGATAGCTCATGGGAACTTAGGTTGTACTACATATGATTTTATTGTAAATAGATAGGCTTTTCAGCATTTCAGGAAAGCCTTTAGATAAAAGTATATATAAAAGAGCTTTACTCAGTGGTATAAAAAAGCCCTCACAGATTCTCTTTTTGTAGGCCTTATAATTTACTTTCACTGTGATTTTCATGCAGAAACATGGCACCGTTGAGTTTTGGACAAAACATTTGATAAATTTCTTTGCTGTGTTTTGCTGTTCCAGTATTGTTTCAGTTTGGTCTATGTCATACAAGTTGTTTTAAGGACAGTATTCTAAATGGAAGAGCTTTCACTTAATTCTTGTTTTCTGCAGTGGAAAAATCTGTTATTATCACTGCCAGTCCAGGAAACACATACTTACTTGAAACATAATACTTATTAGAAACATAAAGTTCTCTCTGAAAACCCCAAACCAGTAGCATTCACACATTATAAGAATTATTTCTGTGGTGTTTGTTTTGTTTTAAACAAAGCCATGGGCCTCTTAAAATACATGACATTGATTGGAGATGACAGGACAACCTGATTGCCAGAGGCTCAAACAGATAATTATCACCTTTCTTAAATACATTGTTGGTGCACCTGAAATAGCCAAATCAGCAGAATTATTCAAAGATTTTCAGGAATTTAGGGGAATAAGTAATGATTTCTTTAATAATAAAATATTTTAGTTTTATAATTCGTAAATTCCAACTGTCTTTTCCCTCCAAGCCTCCCTTCGTTTCTATCAACTTTCCCAAAAAACCCTAAAAATGAATAGTGAATGGATAAATAATAATAATACTAAAGGCTAATTTTGCAATTAGGTGTTTACAGGTTTTTTAATTAGGTTTTGCATCACAGGCATACATATTAATTTTATGTACTGATTTGTGAACCTTCAATGCAGAGATCAGCACGAACGGCCTTCTGCTCGGCAGTTGCTGGACCATCCCTTTGTGAAAGGAGGACAGTGAATTTTTCAAAACTCTTGCCAAATGAGCATGCATTTTCCATTGAAAAGATTTTCATTTGTGGAAAAAAGACCAGAAGGAACTGGGCTTGAATGTGACAGCAGAAATATTGAAGAGCAGTTGTGTTCAAGGAGTCTGTTATTAGGCAGCAGTGATTAAAGAGTACCTGTTCTGCAATGCCTGTCCTTCACTGTGAACACAAGGCCACGTTGTGTTGTATTTGGAGAGACTTAAAAGGAAAATAAAGTCACCATCAGTAGCATGCAACAGGCCAGGTAAGCTGGAATGTCTGTGAAATCCTATGGAACAAGCTATGAGCAGAGAGCTCTGCAACGTGGAGATGAGTAATGAGTGTGAGGATCCCACAGGAACCTCAACCATCTACTGGCATAAAATGTACTGAGGCTTTTATTCAGTCAGGTGGGCCCCTTTGTTTAACTGGGTGGGCACTTTAATTTTTAGCTGGTGAATAAGATTTTTATGGACATAGATCAGCCCTGTATCTCCACAAGATACTGTGGTGATAATCGCAGGAGATAATGATCTAAGCCATGGGACTGCCTGTTTTAAATGAAATAGTGCATTTTATGGGCACTTTCAGGTTCCAGAAGGTTGAGGTTGGAAGGGGCTCTGGAGATGTTCTGGTCCAGCCCCACTGCTCAGAGCAGGGCTGACTGCAGCAGGTTGCTCAGGCCCTTGTCCCGTTGAGTCTGACTATGGATGGAGACTCCACAGCCGCTCCAGTCTTTAACCCTCTCATGGTAAAAGTGCTTTTATGTTTGAAGACTGTCTTATAGGTCAAGCTGTCCCACTGTCCCTTGTCCTGTCACTGCTAGCACTGCAGAGTCTGGCTCTGTCTTCCTTACTGTCCCCATGGGGTGCTGACACTCCCTGAAAACCTGAAGTGTTTCTCTGACCACTGGGGTGAGCACTGTCTGTGACTGGATGACAGAACAGAGCCCCTCTGCACTCCAATGGTCTTCACACTTAGTAAAACTAGCTACTACTGACTGGAAAAAATTAAATAAAATCTAAAAAGCATTGTTAAGTATTAATAAAGCAAAACAAGCAGGTGTTAGTATTTAGAATGTCCTTTTGTTGGTAAGGCTTCTTCCTATCAAAATGGGGTAAATCTTTAGCCTTTGTGAGCACTGAGGCTCCAAGAAAGAGAGGCAGTAAAACTCCACACTACAACAGTTCAGAGCTGAGCTCTCAAGAATCTAAGACACTGACTTCAGTGATGTAATGTGAACATTAGATAAGCAACTTTCCTCAGAGTGCTAAATATCTTAGTTACTTAAATAGCTCTCAAACTTTATTTTATTCCAGTAGTCAGTCTCCCGACTTCAGGGAGTTAAATCTAAACTTTATAAAAGCAAAGAGAAATCAGTACTTCTAGCAAAATTCTTTATTAATACTTTCTGTAGGTATAATGTCACATAACAATGACAGAACATTATGCCAGTATAAGAGAAATCCTAACATCACAGTAATCTTCAAAGTTCAAGCAGTTAACAGTCCTTTTTTGAGGAATATCGATTGGCGCTCATGCCAGACATCCATGGCAACATCATGTTAAAGTATCTTCACGTTAAGGTACCTTGGAGAATAAAGGCAGGAGCCTGGGCATGTGAGCTCTACTGGGATGTACATAATTCCATGATGGGTACTAATTCTTCTCAGATTAAGGTAGAGTCTTCAACAAAGCTGCAAAGTAAATATGAGGGTTTATTTAGCATGGAGTGAAACTGAGATGAGAGTCATAAGCAAGGAAAGAATGGGAATGCTCTAGAATATATTTTTAATTAAAAAAGGTCAGCATTACAAACTCTCTTATGCACATCTTACAAGGAAAACTAACATCTCTTATTAGACTTCTCCAATATTAAGGTTACCAGTTATTGGCAATTTGTCATGTTAAATCCAGTTAATTACACTGAAAATAGTCATTAGAGGTTTGTAAAACTTGAACCTGAGTTTTTAATCAAAATGTGACAGCACATTTTTGGTTTTGTTTAACCAGACTTCGAGAACAAGGTGTCAGTTTAAGGCCAGCACTTGCAACAAAGGTATTTCAGTTTAATCAGAGCTGTGCTTGCAGCAGAGCTCAGGGCCCAGCACAGCTAAGCCAAGCCCTGTGTTAATGTGGGGACCCTTGGGTTGCTTGGCTGAGCCGGTCTGGTGGAGCAGCCTAGAAACAAGTCTAATTTTGCATATTTCTTACTTGATGAGATCAGGGATTTCCACACCAAAATCCAGGTGCCTAATTCCAGGTATCCAATGCAAGGGGAAAGGGTGTGAAATCCTGAAAACCGGATTTTTTTCATGAGCCTGAGCTACTCAGTGAGCACGATCACACTTTGCTTCATTATTTACAGTGTTGGAGCAGGGCAAGCTTTGCTGTTTAAAGGCTACAGCCTTCCTTTCTGAAACCAGTAAGGACCCGTTACAGTGCATGCAGCCTGCCAAGCACTTGCTGTGACTGCAGGTTTCCTCAAGATCTGGAGCCTAAATCTCAGCAGTTGAAGACGCAGCCCTGTCACTGCAGGGGTAGCCGGTGTTTCTCTCACACCGTAACGGGAGCCGTGGCTCCCGTCTCAGCAGGGCGGGGCCACAGGCAGGCCGAGCCAGCTGTTACACTGCACTTGAACTGCTACCAGCAGTGGCATGTAAAAATTTGCATCTAAAAATGCACACATCTACCTGGCTTTCCAAGGAAGCAGAGCATGGTCCCCGGAAACACAAGGGTCTCTTGAGATTATTTGGGTTCACTGGGAATTTTTATACCACTCCTGTCAAACCTCTGGTTCTTGCACACAGGCAAAGAACCAGAGTTCTCCCAAGGAAGGGCCCCCAGGACATGCTCCAGTGCCTTCCCTCTCCTATTTCTCCCTTCCCACAAGGACCTGCACCACGGGACAGCTAAGGAATTTTAGAGGTGTTGTCAAAGAACACAGTGTCTGAACTGTGGCAATACCAATGTTGCTGTTACAAGTGCACGAATACAGGGGCATCAAACCCAAGCACTGAGTATCAAGATTATAAATTTACTTTGGATTTGTTATATCCATTTCAGGAGCCAGAAAACAGTCACTGCCAGTAGCAATGGGAGAGAAGACTCCTGGCACTAATTATCTCTTTAAGGTGTAAGGAGTTAAGCCTTTCAGAGAAAGTAGGAATTAATTAGCTAGTTCAGTCTGGTATAACTTCTAAGGCTCAAGACAAATCTCTAGAACTGATTCTGTTTATGTGCATTTACATCAAATTAAAGAAAGCAAACAAAGTAGTTGCCCAATCACCTTCCCGGCAAAACAAGGACTGGGAACCCTTCCCCTAAGGTCTAAGAAAGAATGCATGGTGTAGCACTGTCACCCACCCCCTCACTGCTAAAAGGAGAAACAATACTGAAAAACCCCTCCACCATCACACTGTTACTACCATGCACAGGCTCTGCCCATTAAGTACAGAGAAAGAGCAGCTTAAGGTAGCATAAAATATCTAGAATTTGCTTTTCAGGTACCAAATACCTGATCAGTGTAATGGAAATAAAGGGAACAATTAAGACTTCAGACTTTCCAGCATTCCATTATTTGAGTGATTTGATGATAACTAGCAATGTTTTGCCAATAACTGAAAGAGGATCTTAGTGTTTACTAATGAAGTTGGAAAAATTAAACATAGGAAAATGGGATCATTTCTGCACAGTAGAGGTGAGGTAGGGAATTTTATTGAAAATACTTTTTTTTTTTTTTACAAGTTCTTAGAAATAAACTTTTCTAATCTCACACAAACAGCTGTACCTCAAAAATTCAACTAAGCTATTATGAAACATTTATATTTACAGTTAGCCAAAAGAATATACAGAACTGCCATGTTATGCAAATAGCCAAGTACCAGCTCACAGTGAGATACATCACCCCAGCATTCCCACCATCAGGAAGATTCAACATACGAAAGAATCTCACTATTCTACAAACCTCATTGCACAAAGAGGGAAGATTTTTAATAGTGTTGTAGCAAGGTCTCCACTACAGCATCATTTTACAAATTACATAATTCATGTACTCAAATTTTTAACAAAAAATCTGTAATAAGTGATGAACAAAGTAAGAGTGTTGACTGTGAGCCTTTTATTGCATTTATTCCGTCATTCACGTGAGGCCAATGCCGATCCCAATAGTTTTCATTCATTTCCAACACCTCTGCCAGGCTGCAATTCACACCATTCACTAATTTACAGTGGGTTTCAGTCAGCAAAAACTAGTGGCACCTGATTGCATCCCCTCTCCCTCCCTCTCAGTCCAGGATCACCACATGGAATTCAGACACAAACACACAGACAGTTTTACCTATTTACAATTACATTGAAAGCCAAACCCCATGAGTTTTATGGACATCCTTTACAGAGAAACCAAAACCCACTGTTTGGATCTCAATGTAACATAGCAACATTTTGTCCACCATATTTCACAACTTCCCAGAATCAAAACAGGTAATAGATTTTTTTGTAACAGCACCATAGGAGGAAGGCCTATGCTCTTTTCCAAGGTATATTAGACAGGCACTAGTTACCATCCAGACATTTTAACTCCAGGTTGTGACAGCAACTGCTATATTTACAGTACAATATATTGCTTATCCAGAGTGGCTGTATAAGATGCATTTCCTGGCACAATTATTCAAACAGACACAAAAAGAAAGTACTGTAGTGCTTCAAAGACAAAGACAGTTTCCTGCTATTTCATGAGTCTGCCCAGGCTCTAGTTTAGGACAGCATATAATGCAGATTACACTGGTTACAAATCAGACCCAAGAGTAGCACTGAG